AAGACACCTCCTATACCCAAAGCCAATGAAAATGAACTTCCTGAATTAGTAGAAAAGCTATTTAAAATGCACCAGGATCGCAATCCTAGTCACAAGCAAAGAGTGTTAACAAGGCTAAAGCTAGTAACCTCAAATCAAGTCCTGCAGTAAAAGCTGCTAAAAAGTGTTAGCCAGCCTGGCCGGGCGTGGCTCAGCGGTTGAGCATTGACCTGGGATCCAGGCGATCAGGGTTCGATTCCCGCTCAGGGCACAGGCCTGGGTTGCGGGTTCGATCCCCAGTCGGGGGCGTGCAGGAGGCAGCCGATCAATGACTCTCATCATTGATGCTTCTCTCTCTCTCCCTCCCTTCCTCTCTCTGAAATCAATAAAAAGATATATTTAAAACAAAATGAAACAAAAACACGTTAGCCAGTTCACAGAATGCGGTCACATCCCTTCCCAGCAACAAAAACGCAGGAATGATCCATTTCCAACTGACAGATAAAATTTCACATTGGTACCAGATAAAATATGTTGAACTTGATTTTTCCAAAGGAAGAAAGACTAATGATATTAAAAAATACCCAATTAATTCAGGATATCCCATCATGAAAAGCCTACGTATGCCTGTTTACCTTCCTACAGGGCACAGCCCAAGACGAGCTCCGCCAGCTACACAGGAAGGGAGTCGCCGTGAGGACAGGCTCAGATACAGAAACGAACAGGAGCAGAGGCCCCACAGGCGGCCTCTCCGGGGCCGAGGAAACCTGACCTAGCAGGGGGTTAGCAACCCGGGGGACAGGCCGATCAGGAGGTGAATTCCCTCAGAAACACACGCTACCAAAGCGGACTGAAAAAATACTGCAATGGCTCTATAGTTACAAAAAATTTTTAATTGAAAATCTTCTCACAGAAGAAAATCTGAGGCCCAGATGGCTTCGTTTGTAAACTCCATCAAACATTTAAAAAGCAGGTTTGCCAATCCTACAAACCCTTCCAGGAAAGCGGCCACACGTCCCCGCTCGTTTCCCAGGCCCTTCACGAGGCGACCGGCGTGACCCCGATTCCAAAGCCAGACAAAGACACCACACGAAAAGGGACCAGTGGAAACCACTCGCGAACAGAGGCGGCTGTTCGCATGACTCCAGGAAAATCCAAGAAATGCGAGGGCAGTTTGACATCTGAAACTAATTAAAAACCTGCCACATTCACAGAGAAAAGGAAAAAAACCGCGCGATCGCCTCGCGGAGGGAGGGGGGCACCTAAGTTCAGCGGCGTCCGCGACAAGCCCGCGGAGCAAGCGAGCGCCTCCCGGCCAGAGCTCCCTGCGCGGGGACAAGCTCCCTGCGTCTGCTCCCTGTACCGGAGGCCTCGGCAGCGCACCAGGTGGTGCGGCCGCTTTGAAAACGTCTGAGGGTTTCTGATAAAACGTGCACTTACCGTGTGGCCCAGAGACCCCGCGGCTGGTACTTACTCAAGGTGAATGGTGACATGGTCACACAGACGTGCGTGGGACTGTTCAGAGCAACGTTACTCATAGCCGCAAAATCAAAACCAAAGACACAGCCTGAGCTTCCACACGGAGGTGGGATAAACAAGCTCTGACCATCTACGCTACAGGGTGTTACTCAGCAGCAAGAAGAAAGTATCAGCACACATAACGCCGTGGATGAACCTCAACGAGGTGCCACGTGAGAGCCGGCACACAGGAAACCAGTCTCAGAAAGCAGGTCGGCGACCGGCTGGGCGAGGGCGGAGCCGAGGGGCTGCCACCAAACAACTAAGGGGCCTTCTGAGGTGGTAGGTGCTCCCCATCTCGACCGCGCTGGTACTCACACACCCGTCTAGTTACAAAACCCACCCACCGGTGCACGTCCCGGGTGTGAACGTTCCCGCCTGTGAACAACAGCTCAATGACGCTGGGAAAACACAGCCTGTGAGTGGGGTACTTACAGGTCTCGCTTGTTAAAGCAGAACAGCACCCCCAGGAGGGTTATCAACAGGAACGCCAGGCAGACAGGCACCACGATGGCTTCGATTTCTCCTTGAGCTGGAAGACAGGCAGGGGAGGAGGAAAGGAACTTACACTCGGTGCTGACGGGAAAGAGTGCAGCTGCTCGGCCAGGCAGGCAACTGCGCCGCAGACTCTGCACCTTTTACAGACGGAAGACCCTCCACAGGCGCGACTACGCCTCACTGCAGGCTCAGACGATGGTCTGCACTGTTCAGCAGGGAAGGGCTTTCAGTCAAGGTATGTGCCCTGTTTTTTAGACATAACCCTGCTGCGCATTAGATTACAGTACAACCTAACTTCTATATGCCCCGGGAAACCAAACCACCCATGGGCCGGCTTTACTGTGGCGCTCACGCCCCTGCCGGTCGGGGCGTGAACCGCCGTCTCCGAGACTCTTAGAAAAGATGCGATTCCACCCCCATTTTCTCAGTCTTTTCAAACTTAAAGGTTTTTCCCTCTCCTTGTAAATGCTGCCCCAGCTACGTGCCCAGTAAGTGAGCCACAGTGTGTGTGTGAAACGCATGCTGGTTGGGGGATAAGCTGCTGAGTCCAGGTTAGTGGATGATCCGCCTGGTAGGTTACAGCTTTCGCACGTCGCCCTTTGCCCGTTACGACGGGCACTCAGCAGTCTCAGCAAAGCTCCCGGTGACACTGGGTGCAGCTGGGAAAGCTGGGGGACAGTCTCAACACCTGGGCTACAAACGTAACCTCTACAAGGGACAAAATGTAACCTTCAGACAAAACTCTAATAGTTACTATCTTCAGGTGCTGTACCCGCTGAGGACAGAATTCAGACCCTCCACGGGCACAGGGTGCTGGGCAGGCAGGTGACCACCGAGGAAGCCTGAGCCTGACGCCCTGAGCACCAGCGAAGCCCCATCTGCATTCACGTGAGGGCCTGGTGATCAGAGGGGTCACCACCTGGGACAACTTACACTGGAGGTGTTTTTTTAAAGATCTGCCTATGGCTGTTTGGGTTAACTTCTCCACCCCCCTTCTAATTACTATTTTAGGAAAAAGGTGTGAGAGGGACACGCAGTCAGGGTCCCTTTGTCTTCTCTTCCCCACTCGTAACCCTCCGTAAGGAACTTTACGCCCAAAAGCCCGACAGAGACAACGGAGTCCGACAGACGCTCAGGACCAACTTCAGGCTGAGACGTTAACCGGAGCGCCAAGCGCTCCCTCTCAGGGCCGTTCGCACGGGGGCAGGGCCTGCCCTGGAGCTGCTGAGCTCTGCTCACGATGTTTCCACGCCAGGCCTGGGTGCTGCCCTAAGACGCCTCTTCTTCCCGTCTGCCCACGTCCGGACCCCCCTGCTGCCTCCTCCACAAAGTCCCTATGAGGGAAACTCGGCCCCACCGGTGTCGTTAAATCCTTGCTCCACTTGCTGTCTGCACGGCCCAGTGGCTCCCACTTTTTTGGTTACTGACACGCATCTCTCCCTCTAGGCTGTGGTGCTGAGGAGCCGGCAATGCCACGCAAAGCAGCCACAACAGATCCACGGAACAACGGGCAGGCCAGTGGCAAAGCGCAGGCAGTGGTACCAGCAATACCAGCAAGTGATCTAACTACTGGGGAAACGTTTGTGTAAAAGACCAGAACGTACAAACACGCGGAGATCACTCCGGCGATCCGGGGCGACTGTCCCGCCCGTGCCCCACGGCGCCGCCGGGCTCATACTGAACACCGCCTCACAACCAAGGTGGCATTTAAAAGGGTTTTCCTTTCCTGAGGGCCATGGCACAAAGTCTTATTTCAAATACCACTCGTTACATATACAACCTACTGACAGGTCACCACAAATCCTCTCTCAGAAACCACACGCGTTACGGACGGCGCAGCCCAGCCCCGGCCGCTCTGTTCGGCAGCTGCTCACCCGCTTGTCCCTCCACCCAGCAGCCACTCAGCCGACAGGGACACGCAGCTTACTGCTGGCACTCACCGTCCTGGCGCCCGGGAGTGGGGGCTACACATGCAATTGTAATAAAACAAGGTGATTTCCACAGTGACTGACCAAGGACTGCAGCTCCAGCTGGTTTAGGGAGGCCAAACGAGGCGAGGACTTGGGTGAGGGCTACGCTGGGAAGAGGGGAAGGTGGAGGTGGCGGCGAGAAGCTCGGGCCAAGGGAAGAAACTACGAGAGGGCACCACGGGCAGCAGCTAGACGCCACGGTCAACGGGACTCAACACTTAGCTTATGAAGCAAAAGAGACAGGAAGAAATTCACTACAGTCACATCCAGGTTTCTAGCTCCGGCAGAGCTGGGCCGCGGGGGCCTGGCACACAGAGGGCAGCTGAGGTCACGGGCAGGGAGCAGGAGGCTGAATCGGAGGTAAGAACACAGGGCCAAGAGCAGCCCTGGGGAACACAAGCCATTAGGAGAGCAGACAGGAGGCCAAGCAGGACGTAGCAGAGGCCGTGGCGCTGGGGAGCTCGCCGAGAACAAAGGCGGCGAGGACCAGGGGAAGGCGGTTTCCAGGAGGGAGAGGCCGTGCAAGACGGAAGCTGAGAACGACAGGAAACCCGGGAGACTGAGGCCTGCACCACAGGGCACGGGGCCTTCTGAGTGACCCCCGAGGTGTCGGCCGAGGGGGGCCCGGAGCCAGCAGGGAAGGACCGAGCTGCAGGGGGGAGCGGGAGCTCCAAGGGCGGACGGCCCTCCAGCAGCCGACCCGAAGGGAGGGGCAGAGACGAGAGGCATCCCAGCCGTCGCCAGTGAAAAGCAAACCCCGAGAAAGACACACACCCTTTAGGGATCAGGGTACAGGCGAGATCAGTCAGAAACAGTTAATGACATAAAAGAGGAGAGGACAGATCTGTCGTTTAAAGAAACTACTGAAACTAGATCAACGGTCATGATTTCTGAGCACTTCATTCCTCTGAATCCAAAGGTTTTAACAAAACCTCACCATATAAACTAAGCCCTTCTCAGTCTGGCTAAATTCAAAGGAGAAGGGAGACTAACGTCATCACTTCTTACCAAACTTGGGGGTGGTGAAGGTGAACTCGGGGCCGTCCTTCCCGCCCTCGTCCGTGTACGCGGCCATGCGCACCATGTACAGGGTGTCGCTGCTCAGCGAGGACAGCGTGTACTCCGTGTGGGACGAGTCCACGTTCACGGCTGGAAGAGAGCAAGACGTGCCTTAGTCAGTGCCCAGTGGGTTTTGCTTCATTTGGCCCGTATCTGACAGTGAAAGTATCAAAAAGGAATAAAAACATGTTTTCACAACGGAGGCCACGGGACCACGGGCGCACCCGCGAGGCGGGTCCTCAGGTGTGTCTGCGGGCAACGTGCCACACTGACGCACAGCAGAGCACGGAGGCTGCAGCTGGTCCTTAAGAGCAGGAGAAAATAACTGGTTGTTAATAACTGAGGCAGCTTTATTACCGGTTTCATTTCCAATGTTGGTTTTGTAAAATATTGTGTAATTTCTGATGAACCCATTCTGAACATCGACAGGAAGCTGGTCCCACTCTAAGACGGCTTCGTTTTTCCACACTTTCTTTGTCCGAACAGTGGGTCCTTTGGAAGGTGCTAGAACAGAATAAAGACGATTTGCTAACAGAAAATCATCAGGATTTAGTACAATTTCATTATCATAAAGTTATTTGAACACAATGAGACATATCCTGGTTTAAAAGGGACACAACGTCCCTGTTAATACAAAACAGGGCTTCTGAGGACGGGGCGGACTCACGGGCCTGCTTGAGGTAGGCCTTGATGGACGCGGGGCTGCCTGGCCCGTCGCTGTACACTGGGGTCACGGTGATCAGGTAACACTTGCTCTCGGCCAGGTTCCCTAAAGCCAGAAAAGTAGATCAAGCACAGTTTTTTCTATAACGGGAAAGTCTCAGTCCTTCACTGGTTTTCACATTGTAATTTCATGACCCTGAACGGTGAGAACCACAGATGAAGGAAGCGACGCCTGTGCGCCGGGTTCACGCTGAACAGAGTGAAAGGCACCGTCGCTGCCAGCACAGCGGACACAGAGGCTCTGTCAACACGAGGAACGAAAGCCTTTACGTTCCGCATTTACACACACTGACCTCACACTGCCCTGGGTCTCACTCTAGTCCCACAATTTCCGCCTGTCTTGCCTACTTCTCTGAGACCGGCCCAGGGAGCCAGCTGCCGCTGAGGGCCAGGCCCGGCCCTGTCGGGTGCTCGGCAGAGGAGGTTACTCCCCCGGGAAGTGACAGTTTCCACAGAGCACTTCGTTTACACTCTCTCCAGACGACAGTGACCTACTGCAGCACCAAGAGCGCGACTGTTCCACACAGCACCCTGCCCACGTCAGATCGGGGGCCTGTGGTCCTGAAGTTCACACCTTCAGCCAGGACTTGCGCCACCCGAAAATTACGAGCCTGACGTGCTCCTCTGCCTTCTTGAACACAGCGACTTCGCCTTTTCGGGGTGACTCATATCAAGGAGATGGACAGTTTTATGTTCTGCTGGGGTGCAGGGATGCTGCCAGGCTGCGTGCACAGCCCGGAGCTCTCCAGGGCCTGGGCTGTGCTTCATTAGTCTCCAGGGTCTACTGGGCACCAGTGTGTCCCCTTCCCAGCTCCACCTGCCTTCAGTTGAACAGGCGGATAAGCTAGACAACCAAGCTTATGAAACTGTAAATTAAACAGGGCAATCAGGGCCCGACAGCCAGCTCTGAGAATTAAGCTCACACACGTTACGTGGCTGCGAGGCCTGCGCGTGTCTGCTGAGAGCTCTCCCCTGACCACGCTGCTCGTCGCTGACTGTGCCGGGCACCCTTCTTTACTGAAAACACATTATATACGTTGAGTGTTTGTTTTCTCCTTAACACTGTCTTAACTTCAAAGCCACTTGATAAGCAGCACCTATAACAGAGCAACGCCTCACGAAGCTCTGCAAGGTCACTGCTCTCTGTCCCCCAGCCGCACTTCCAGTTAAAATGCACGAGGAGTCGGGGTTCCAGCTGTTTCCCTATCTGACAGCTGAGAGAAGTTAACACTCATCCGGATGCTAGGAAGTACTTTCTCATTGAAGGATGAGAGGCTGAACCAGGTACAGAGAACACACAACCAGTTAACGGCAGGTTAGATCACCTTACGCTTCTCTCCTACTTTACAGGTTTGTGACCATTTGTTTCACGATCAGAACAACACTGGAGCACAGACAGAAGACATACCACCCATTGTCCTAAACAGACCTGCAGCCCAAAGGTTAAGTGATCTAGTAAAGACATCTAGCCAGTAACCATGATAAACTGGAGCCTTTTCACTGGGTCGCCAGGCCCAGGACGCAGACATGTAAAAGGCAAGCATGGGGCAGTCAGAGGCAGGGCGGCCGCCCCAGCCCCATCAGGTACCTGTGAGGTGGGTGAGGTGCACGGTGCCCTCCTCCTGCTGCCAGTCCGGGACGCAGGGCGCCTTGTCCGACAGCACACACCACTCAAGCACGAACTTGTTCACAGGCACCTCGGGGGGAGCCCACTCCACCCACAGCATGTTGTCTTTGGGAAACGCTTTAAGGTCCCTTACGGGGCGAGTAGCTTTAAAACAAAATTGAGCACCACTGCAATAAGTGAAACATTTTAAAATTTAAAACTGGTATTTAACATTCATCTCCACAACCACGTGATCTATTTCGCTATCAGTTTTTGTAGCACATAATATTAACAGGCATTTCCATGAATAAAAATACGTTATTATAATTTAAATGCAATGTATTAAATTCTTCCTTTCCCAAATTCTCCATATGTTTTGTGTATGTAAATTGTTTTCTTCTTTGAAACTGGAAGATAAATAATATACTTAACTCATATACCTATAAGGTCCCCAAATCCTTAAAATAACGTTAGAAAACTAGGTAAGCACATAATCAGAAAGTGCCTAACTGATTAAGTAGCTGGGTGGGAAGCCTCAGTGAGCCACAGATCTAGGCTGGGCCCCGGCCATCGTGACCCTGAAGGAGGGTCTCAGAAGACGTGTCATACGGGGCCTATCCCCACCCAACCGCCTTCCCCTCCATAAGCCAGGCCCCTCAGACACGGACCTTGGAAGTCACAGGCGGGGATGGTTAACACAGCCGCGTCTGACGTGCCGACCAGGTTTCTGGCCGTGAGGGTTGCTTTGTGGCGGTCATTGGTGAGGTTCACTGTCAGCTGTGTGTCCCGGACGGTGTAGTTCTGTACAGGTGACTTCCACCTTGCAAGAGTCACTTCATAATCCAAGATTTTCCCGTTGGCTTCAAAAGGGGGCAAGGTCTGCAATGAAACCCTTCGTGTTAAAGTGCCTTTCCCAAGTCTAGACTGAAGTGCACTTTTCCTCATGTTCATGAATCCTGCCAGCAGGTGCGGCCTCTCCTCACTGAGAGGCACCGGCCCCTCCACCCTGAACTCACTGCTGAGAGCACCGCACACGAAGGCGGAGCGAGGCAGGAGAGGCGTCGCCCACTGCCCACCCTGCCAGCCCCGCACCCGGCCGCGTGGGCCTCTCAACCTGCACTGGGCCCTGAGGGCCTGTTTCAGTCCCGCACCGGCTGTGTGGGTCTGTTTATGCCCCAGTACCTTTCTCTTTACCTTTTCTGGTGTGATCTGCTCACGTACATTTATGAAGTGCACACAATTTTATGTCTCCTACTACTGGCAGGCATTCTGATCACAAAACACCCTTAACTATTTCCTGAGTTCAGTGAGACCAGGTCTCTGTCCTTGTGGAACTGCGCTGAGTGTCTATGGTATGACCCAGTCTGTGAACCGGACTTCTAGGTGGTGCATATAAAATTGTGTTTCCATGTACATAGTTATTTAATGCTTTGCCAATATTAAGAGGAATAAAAATTTTAATTAAAAACTCCATTTACAATATCACACACCATGTATTTACAAAAGAGACGGAAGAACACGGATGTGGGAAGGTTACCTTCCAGATGAGCCGCACGGATCTGTAGCCAGGAGTAGGGGACGGCTCTACCTTATACCAGAAACTCGGCGCCTTGGATGGTCCTAAGGAAATGACACACACCCCTTAGTTTCTATTGTAACAGTGAAATAAAGTCCTAGAAATCCCTCTCTTGCTTTGTTGTGAACACTTTTCCCTTCAACCACGAGGTGTCTCCCTTTGTTTACACAGCAGCGTGTGTCCCCACCCCAGCACGTGCGTCTGGTCTCCCAGCCGTCAGGTGACAGCCTGGGGACTTAGACTATACTGAAGCTCTTCTGTGATCTTAAAATGGTAAAGCTACAACTATATTCTGAGCAATCACCAAAGACACATCATTACTTCTTACCGCTGAAAACTGAATTGAAAAATCTCATTTAAATACATGCTTAAAACTCCTACATGTATAAACGTAAGACTATAAGACAATTAAAATAAATGGAGTAAATTCAGCGTAAGTTTACTGCCTTATCTTGGGAGGATTCAGTGTAACAGGAACAGAGCACACACACCTTCCTGACAGTGCGGACCTAGGTCTGCGCTGCTGGACGGTGAGATTAGTGACTGGGTTGGGGCTCTGGTTAGGGGGTCTCCCGACCGTCCCCCTTCAATAAAGCGCTTTTCTCGTGGCATCTGAGACACCGTTTCACGATAACTTTACAAAGTGAGGTATTAACTACGCGTATACTATCAGCCACCACACTCAAGTTTCTCTCTCAACATCCTTAAAAATAAAAGTGTAAAACGCTAGTCTGAATAGAATGATCAGAAAATAAGCAGCGAGGTCTGTGTATCACCGGCAGACGCTCGGGCCGCGGCAGAGCTCGCTGCGCTGCTGCACTCACGGTCCTCGTAGGTGGTCCCGCTCGCCTCCTCGCTCCAGTCGCTCCAGAAGCCCCTGCCGTCCTCCTTCATGCAGCGAATCCGGAACACGTACTCCGTGAACGGCCGGAGGTCCTGGACGGTGAACGAGTACCGGGTGGAGGCTGTGTCTTCCTGAGGAATCTGAAAACAAAGCGATGGGCCAACAAAAACCCAACGGTATTTATCACAGGTCTTCTGAACACATGCGGCTTTGGGAGCTCATTTAATGAAGGACGGCTACTAAAGTAACTGGGGCTCTGGGCAGAAACGCAGGAGTCAAAGAGCAGCTGGACTCGGGCACACGGAGCTGAGAAGTACAGAAACACCCGTTACCCTCCCTCTCTCCCTCCTTCCTCCCTCCTTCCTTCC